TCGGCAGACGGCCAACCAACGGAGTGTCCCTAGGGGCCAGACCAGGGAGAGGGCCAGTGGAGGCTCCCTCGACCCCAGGGCCCTGGACCCCAGGACCACCTGGACCCCCAGCGTGAGAAATACATGCATGCAGGGCCGCGTTGAGGCCAGAATCGGGGCAGAAGTTGAGCTCCTGAGCCCACGGATCCTCCTCATCCTGCAGCCCTTCAAAAGGGTCAAGCCCAAACTCACACTCATCAAAATCTACAGCACCAGCTCCAGCAGAAGTGAGCTCACCCCTCGAGCTCTCCTCTGCAGGCTGTTCCCTTTGAGATTGAACACAATCCCCATACAAGGTGTGAAACTTCTCATTCCTAGAAGTCACAGCTATCTGCTGCTGTACCACCCTACGCGCACGAGCAACACTCGACTTCGAACCAGGAGTGGGCATACAGGACGGCCGCGGAACCTGGGGCAGGCGTCCTGGAGCATGCATAACTCTAGTGACAAGCTGCTGCCCAGAGTTCCTAAAATGAACCTCCAAACCTATGTGGGGCCTCCAGGGGGCTGACTCAATAGGAAGCACCTGTAGAATGAAGGGCCTAGCCGCAATACTACACATTATGGAATCTATGTGTGTGCCAGTGGACAAAATGCAAGTGGCTTCAACATCTGCTGTCGCTATCATGCCGCCAATCTTTTGCAGGAGCCCTGTCTTGGCCAGCGCAGCAGGGCTCATGTTGAAATCTCCAATGACAAGCCATGGGAGCTGAAGGGCATGCAACAGTGCGGACAGCCGCTGCAATCTGCCTACGCTCGCTCCTCCCAGCCCCATGCTGTGGAAGGCGTAGAACGTGATGACCACGATCGAAAAGCCCTCGAAATGGACGAGCATGACAGCAAAGCCGCCCAGCGCCTTGTGAGACGGCGCCATGAGCCTTGAACCTGCGGCTCGAACGGCTGGTAACCTATGCGCGCGAAGATGATTCTTAGCAAACAGCCGCTCACCACCTTCGTTGGCATGCTCTTCCTGCGACAGAGAAACATGCCTGTCGCGAGGTCGAGCTGGATTGAGAACTGTTCGTGGGCCACGACCCCTGGCCTTACCTTCCCAACGACGCAGAGCAGCCTGCTGATGCACATGTGTCTCCACTACTGCATAGAAATCGTAGTCAGAGTCCTCGATGTACGACCAGGCTTTGTCCCCCATGCAGGATACATTGGCATAGAATAAGCGGGATACGCCATTCTTGCACTTCCCGTTGACAGCGGCAGGCGCCTGCGCACCTGGCGCCGCCTCAGCACTTGGCGTTGCAGAAGCTAATCACGAGCTGGCAGCCCCAGCTCCACCTGAGCTAGCTGCCGTACTCGCAGGCGCCTGGCCTCTACCCTTGCCGTTCTGCCGCTGGCCCTTCACGCCCTTGCCGACGTGCTGCTCCGCCATGAACTTGGCCGCCGAGAGGCGCTGCGCCTCGGCGTTGACCTCTGCAGACTGGGCTGCTGCCGCCTGCGGGGCGGTGGCGGCCTCGGCCGTGGCAGCTGCGCCACTGGCCGCTTCAGCGCGGGTCTCGCCCGCAGGGGCCCGTCGCTGCCACCTCCGCCAGGCGCAGCAGCAGCTCCATCGCCACCAGCACCTCCATCCTTGGAGTCCACCTTCCGCTTCTTCGCGAGGCGCTCGGCGATCTCCGCACGATACTTCTCCATGCGAGCCAGCCAGTCTCGCACCTCAGACTCTTTGGCCGTCATCTCCTTCTCCGTGGCCAGCAAGCGCTCATGGATCTCCTTGGGTCCTGCGCGCTCGCCCTCCTCGCACTCCAACTCATCCAACTTTCTGAAGAAATCAGAATCTCATGAGATGTGGAAGATGCGCTTGTCCTCATTGGCCTTCATGGCCGTGTCGCCACCGTCAGCTCCAGCAGCGCTGCCCACGCCCTCGGCGCGCGCAACGGCCGCGGCCGCAGCCTTCCTGGCGAGGGCTGCCTGGGCCAGCTGCCTGGACAGCTCCGCCTCCTTGATCTCCGCCGCTTCGAGGGAGCCTCGAAGACGCAATACGTTGGACACGGCCTGGGAGTGCTTGTGGCCCGCGTCGCGATACACTCCATCCGCACGTCGTAGCAACTCCACTGCCGAGGTCTCCTGCTGCTTGGATTCCTCGGCCTCACGCTCCAGCTTGACGACCTGCTGCTGCAGCGTGTTCTTCAGCTCATCATCACATGTGGCCGCCGCGGCGCGGGCCAGCAAGGAGGCTACCTCAATGGGGCTGCCGTCCTCTGCGGGCTGCTCGCGCCACGGCGGCTTCTTGCCACTGCCACGCCCTAGGCCACTCCTGCCGCCAACCTTCTGGCCGTGCGCTGGCGAGGAGCTCCTTGAGGCGCGGAGGATCCCCTTCGGGTGCACGAGGGTGGTCTCCTCCTTCTCGTCCAGATCAAACTGCACCTTTGGCCCTGTGGTGGACTTGGGACGAAACAGCACAACTTCTTCACCACATTGACCGCAGATGGATGGGTTACGAACCAAGATACTGTTGTACTCGCAGGCCTGGCATGCCGCACAGCGCGACCACAGCCGAGCACCTAGCGCCATGGCTGCGAAAGATACTAAGAATGAGTTCTCTCCTGCTCTAGTCGGTGCCGTACAATCCCTCGGCGGGGTGCACGGGCAAAGTCCCTCAAGCGCTTCGTGAAAGCACAGGAGAATGAGCCCCGCCAAAATGGTTCGGGCCCAAGTGGCTTGAGAGGAGGAGGAGGAGGAGGAGGAGCAGGAGGAGCAGGAGGAGGAGGAGGAGGAGGAGGAGTAGGAGCAGGAGGAGGAGGAGGAGAGCAGAGGAGAGGAGTGGAGAGGAGAGGAGTGGAGAGCAGAGAGGAAAGGCAGCGGCAGCAGACACGCGAGAACTCAACGAGAGGACGACGAGCTCTTCAGGAAAAAAACGTCGGCTTTCGTCACTGGTCCCTGCGCATTTTGTTGAAGCTTCTCCTCTTCGTGGGACGTTCGTATATACGGAGCTGGACTGCGGTTCAGAAACGCTGAGAATGAAGGCCAATTTCTTAGCGTAGTGAACAAACCTAAGCAGGGGTGTTCAAGCATATGTCACGCTATGCGAACTCCCTCACCGCTCGCAGCTAGGCAAGCATTCCAAGCGCACCAGGACCCCTGGACACCCGCTGATTTTTGTTAGTTTTGTTCCCATCCGCGGCGCAGGAGGTCCCGATCGGCAGTGTTGCGTCCGAGACCTGTCTCTGATGGTCTTGGGGACCCATTAGGTCGGAACCTACGACACACTCAAGGACTGACAAACCACACCGTCAGAGATCTCAACCCGCCGCCTCCGCTCCTGACCGTTCCTCGGCCTCCGAGGCACGGCTCGGCGCTCGGGCGGCCGTCCGGGACGACCTGGGCACCCCCGCTCGCCTCTCGACGCGGCGGAGACACTCGAAAGCCTTGGACCTCGAACCCGAGCCCACACATCCGACGCCTTGATTGGTTCAACACGGGGTCCCCCGAAGGCACGACCCATTCCTCAGGACCGCGTTTCATCTCGAGTCTTTTCTTGACGTTCCCGGGGCCCGGCGAGGGCCCCGACAGGCCAGGAACGACGACAAAGCGCTGCTCTGTTTGCTTTCAAGATGTCGGAGACATGGGAAACTTCCCTTCCTGAGCCGCCGCTCCCGATTGGGGGACCCAGTTCGACCACCTGCCCGCGCTTCGCCCACGGCCCGACGACGTGCTCGCCACGCTCTTCTCTCTCGAACCTCAAGCCTCGAGCCTCGAGCCTCGAACCCAACTCGAGCCTCGAACCTCGAGCCTCGAGCCTCGCACGTCGCACGTAGAGCCGCGAACATCAAACGTCGAGCCTTGAGCCTCAACCGCCAAACGTCGAGCATCGAGCCTCGAACGTCAAACGTCGAGCATTCAGCCTCGAGCCTCGAACATCGAGTCTCAAAGCCTCGGGCCTCGAGCCGAACGTCAAACGTTGAGCCTCGATCCTTCAGAGTCGAATGTCGAGCCCCGAGCCTCGAAACTCGAACCTCGAGCCTCGAGCCTCGAGCCTCGAGCCTCGAACGTCAAGCGTCAAACGTCGCAGCTCGATGCTTCGAGGCTCGAAGCCTCGAGCCTTGAACGTCAAATGTCGGCCCTGGAGCTTCGAGGCTCGAGCATCGAGCGTCCAACTTCGTCCTTCAGCCTCGAGCCTCGAAACCTCGAGCCTCGAGCTTCGAACGTCAAACGTCAAATGTCAAACGTCGAGGCTCGAGGCTTCGAGCCTCGAACGCGGAACCTCGAGCCTCGGTGCCTCGAACGTCAAACGTCGAGCCTCGATCCTCGAACGTCAAGCGTCGAGCCTCGAGCCTCGATCCTCAAGCCTCGAGCCTCGAACGTCAAGCGTCAAGCGTGGAGCCTCGAACGTCAAATGTCGAGCCTTGAGCCTCGAACCTCGATCATCGAGCCTCGAGCGTCGAGCTTCAAACCTCGAATCCTCAAACGTCAAGCCTCGTTCATCGAACATCAAACGGCGAGCCTCGGGCCTCGAACCTCGAACCTCGAACCTCGCACCTCGAGAACGTTAAAGGTCGAACCTCGAACCTCGAGCATCGAACCTCGAACCTCGAGCCTCGAGCCTCGAACGTCAAGCGTCGAGCCTTGAGCCTCGGGCCTCGAACGTTAAACCTCGCAGCTCGAGCCTCGAGCCTCGATGCCTCGAACGTCAAATGTCGAGCCTCGAAACCTTTAGCCTCGAGCCTCGAACTTCGAACGTCCAGCGTCGAGTCTTGATCTTCGAGCCGCGAACCGCGAACCTCGAGCCTTGAGCCTCGAGCCTCGAGCCTCGAGCCTCGAGCCTCGAGCCTCGATGCCTCGATGCCTCGATGCCTCGATGCCTCGATGCCTCGATGCCTCGATGCCTCGATGCCGCGATGCCTCGGGCCTCGGGCCTCGAGCCTCGAACCTCGCAGCTCGAGCCTGCAGCCTCGAACGTCAAGCCTCGAACGTCAAGCCTCGAGCCTCGAGCCTCGAACCTCCTGCGGGAGGACGTACTTCGACCACCTGCCTGCGCTGCGTCGGCGGCCCCACGACGTGCTCGCCGAGCTGGCCTCGCCGCGCCGCCCGCGGCCGAGATCCCCGCGCCCCGCCAGGGCCGCCTCGGCCAGGAGGCGCCGCCGCGGGCCACGACGGCGAGGACGATCGTCGATCGACGATCGCCGATCGTCGATCGACGACGACGACGACGCCGACGGAGGCGCCGCCGTGGGCCACAGGGCGTCCACGGCGGCGGCCGTCGGGGCAAAGCTTCGCGGTCTCCGAGCGGCTTCGGCGGTGCTCGGCGGTGCTCGGGCCTTTCGGGGGTGCCCGCCCCGCGGCGGCGCCCCGCCCAGGGCCGCCTCGGCCAGGAGGCCGTGGCCGCCGTGAAGAGAAGCGGGCGGCCGCGGCGGCGGCGGCGGCGGTGTTCCGCAGACGAGCAGCGCCCAACCCTGAGATCTTGGCGTCGCTATCTCTTCGCGCCGGGCGGCGTCTCGCGGTTTCTCGTGCCAAAGGGGGCCCTCGCAGGTCGACCGGGCCCGGAGAGTGGTGCCGAAAGGCATGGGGCTTTTGGGGCTCGGGTGGTGAGTTGAGGTGGCGTTCGGTGTTTGTCCCGCCGTCGGGTCTGAGCGAACCACGCGTAGCCTAGATGACTTCCTCTACCTCCGCATCCACTCTACGTGTTAGGTTAGACAGCGCTGCATGGCAGGGTCGGCCACGTTTCGTATCAGGTCAGACGCTTGTCCTGCCTGCCACGACACGTTCCGGGTCAGATGACCGACCTCAGCATCCATTGTACCCCCCCAAACTCTTGAGCACCCCCCGCGCTGATCAAAGTAAGCCAGGACATCCCTAGATGCTCGACCTCAGAGGAGGAAGGGGTACCGACACAGCTGCTTCCCCTGCCTCGCGTTCGCCTTTTTAGGGGCCCTCGCCTTCGAGGCCCTCGTCGCCCCCGCCGGAATTCGCTTCGAGGTCCTGGTCGGGACGCACCCCCGGAGAGGTCCGGAGACCAGCCGGGGCGGCCAGGGGGGGGGTGATGACTGTAAGGGGTGTGTGTGTGTGTGGATATCATGGCCAGGGCCATGACATCTCCCCAGGCTGCATGGGCCCCCTTCTCTTCTTTCCATGCGGGCGGCGCCTCGGCGTTCGCGCGCAAGCTGCTCGCGCAAGGTCGCGCGCACGCGCCCTTGTCTCCCTGGTGGCCTGCCGCGCCGGCGGCCCGTGCAAGCCGCCGCGCAAGGTCGCTACGTCGTCTCGCGTGAGACCCTGTTTTGATCGTCGCTCACGTGTCCGCCGGCCCCCCCCCTCGTCCGCGCACGTTCCTCGGGCCATGCTTTGCGACCCCCCTCCTACTTAGACACCATCCCGCATGGGCGCCCCCGCAGTAGAGAGTCTCGGCGCGGGCATCGGGTGAGGGGCCCTCGGATCAGGCATCCAGGGTCTGGACGACGGTGGGACACCAGTTGAGGCTTGGCCATGGATACCACCGCCGCCCTCCTCAGATGATTACACGCCGGTCGTTGGAAGCAGCTCTTCTGGGATTCCCAGATCCCAATCTGCTTTCAGCGACTTCCTACTTGAAGAATCGATGCGTTCCTGCTGCGTTTTGTCATTCTCTGGGAGGGCCTGGGCCCAACCTTTTTTAGCCGTCCTCTTACCTCCTGCTTTTGGCCTGCCTCCTCCCACAGACGCGTGATGTACCACCCAGAGCCTGAAGCCTCTTGGGGCGCACTCCTTCACGAACGCGTCCACCGCACCAGCTCTTCTCTTGTCTCCCCGCGGCTGGTTGTAGCCAAGGGAGGAAAAACCACCCGGACCGTTCAAGTGGCGCGTGTTAAACGGCCCTGGGCGTTTACTAAACGGCCCTGCCGTGTCTGATTTCTTCTTTGAGAAAACGGATGAGTGGGGACTGTCGGGAAATCAGCTCCTGAAGCACGCATTGTCCTGAGTAGACCCCCGACGCGCGCAGCCTCTCATGCGAGGCCAGGGCCTCACCCGCCTCGCCCTGAAGGGGCCCGGGCGCATGCCCGCACAGGCGTTCCGTTCCGTTCCGTTCCGTTTGGGTGCGTTTACGAAACAGCTTCGCGTGTCGGGGTGGTTCTTATCCGGGTGGTTTTTGTTCCGCCCTCTGTGTCGTAGGGCCCTCCATCCGGGCCCGCGGCGTCTCGGGGCGGGGCCGGCGGCGCCGTCGGCGCGCGAGGGAGGGCTCCCCTCCGGGGAGATTGGGGGCGTCCACCTCGTCGAGGCGGCCGGCGACGGGTAAATCGGGCGTGTCCTTCTACAGGGAAAATGCCCCAAAGTAGTCAAGCATAGTCGGGGGAGGATTTGTTTTGACTATTTTGTTTGAGTGCTTTTTGACACTTGGTCATTCTTCGTCCAAGATCCCCCTGTAGGAGGACAGGCCCGACCTAAGGCGACGTTCGAGGGTGAGATGATCGGGGCTCATCGAGCATTGGCGGGGCGTCCTGGTTTGCCTGTAGGCCCACTAAAGAATGTTCAAAGAGCTTGTTGTGGGATGCGCGAAAGGTTCTTAGAACACTTCTGGCTTGGACCGTCTTGCTTTCACACATCGGGCTCATGTTCTAAGAACATGGTTTTTCTTATTCGAAAATTCTTGATTCTAGGAGCAATCCGTGGTACGCCTATAGGAATGCCGGGACGGTCGGTCCCTGCTCATGCTCAAGTGACGGGGATCAATGCAAACGGGGGTCAGAGCGCCCGATCTGGCAGGATCCTGTACGGCCAGGGTCGCACTGACCCGGACTCGGGTTCAGGATTCTGCAGCATCCTGCAAGGGCTTGGGCGCAGGATCCTGCAGGATTCTGCAGGATCTTGCAGGATCCTGCAAGGCCTGACCTGGCCCGGGTCTGGATAAACCTGGGCCGGGTCGCCTTGCAGGCTCCTCCATCTTGCAGAATCTTGCAAGGCGAGGAGGAGGAGGAAGAGGAAAAAGGTGGCAAAGTCAAAGCGACAGTCATGCCTACAACGTCAGGTGGAGAAGGAGGAGGATGACACTCGATCGGTTGCGCGTGATGTTTGTTGAGTTTTCGGGCGTCTTCGTCGTTTCCTTGAGGCTCTCCTGCCTCGGGATACGTTCTGGCAGCTGCGCCTCGCCAGTTGTCCGTCTCTCGTCGCGGGTCGTAGCGGATGAGGCCGGAGCATCGCGCCGCATCGCCAATGCATCGGCGATGCGGCTCGATGCGGGGCCCAATTGTCTCCATGCCGAATCTGCCGCCGATGTATCGCCGACATCGCCGATGCATCGCCCATCCGACGCGATCCTCCGACCCCCATCTTGGGGGCCTCTGTAGTTATCGGGCCGAACATGACCTACAAGTGGGATGCAAGTGCCCCAGGAGGGTCAAGATCAGGGCATGCCATTTCCAGCCCTGTCACATGCTAGGCTAAACCATGCACAACCTACCTTCGCATCCACTTCTGATAACCCCCCGGTCCCCTCGGGGTCGCAGGCCCAACAACGAACGGCCGCCTCGATGTCGCGGATCGCAGAGTCCCCTCGGCGGGTGCGGGCTATTTGCGAGCCGTTCAGGAGGAGGAGGAGGAGGAGGAGGAGGAGGAGGAGGAGCAGCTCCGACTTCTCCTGTGCGCTTAAGCCCGCACCCGCGATGGGGGTTCGCGCCGCTCTCGGGCCGGCTGCCGGCGAGAGAAGAGAGAAAGAGAGAGAGAGAGAATCGGCACGCGTGGCGCGCACCGGCGACGGACGGCTTGGCGACGGACGGCGGCGCAAGGCAGGGCGCTGCCAGCTTGGCTCCCGCATTGTATATATATATATATATAAGAAAAAACAAAAAAAGCAAAAAAAAAAAAAAAACAAAAAAAGACATATATGTATATAAGAAAAAACAAAACAAACAAAAAAAAACAAAAAAAAAAAAAAAAAAAAAAACAACAAAAAAAAACGCCGCAGGGCCGACGCGCCGAGCCTCGACCTCCTGGCCTCCGCCGCCTCCGCCGCCTCCACGCCGCTGCCCGGGCGCGGGCGCCGGCCGGTGCCGCCCCCGACCGCGCCCTCCCCGGGCCCGTCCGCCGAGCCCGGGTCGCCGCGGCAGGCCGCCGTCGTCGTGCCGTCGTCGTCGTCGGCGCCGTCGGCGTCGCCGTCGTCGTCGTTCCGTCGTCGGCGTTGGCGTCGGCGTCGTCGTCGTTTCGTCTTCGTCATTTCGTCGGCGCTGGCGCCGTCGCCGTCTTCGTCGTCGTTTCGTCTTCGTCGTTTCGTTGTCGTCTTCGTCGTTTCGTCGTTTCGTCGGCGTCTTCGCTTTTTTGTCGGCGTCGGCGTCGTCGTCATCGTCGTCGCCGCGCGCGTCGTTTCGTCGTCGCCGCCCCGGCCACCGCAGCAGCCGCGCAGCCGCGCGGCCTCGCGCCCTCCCTCTGCCAAGGCGTGGCCGGCCACGCCCCCCAGCGTGGCGTCCTCGCCCAGCACGGGCGCGCGTCCGCGGCGGAAGCTCGCGCGGCTGCTGAGCGAGCAGGAGCCCCGAGATCCAAGGCATCGACAAAAATCAAGACGGAGTGTTTCCCAACCGGTGTTGGGTCTTCGTTTTGAAGAGACGGTGGCCCGCGTCTCCTCTCCTCCTCTCCTCCTCCCCCTCCTCCTTGCGTTTCACCCACCCAGCACAGCGTTTCGTAGCCCCATAGGGAGCTCAACGGAAGGCCCCGGTGGCAGGGTTCGCATGGCGGCCTCGGGCCATTTCGGCACACCCCTCACGAGGATCGTGGCCCCATAGGGAGCTCCACCGAAGGCGCCAGTGGCAGGGTTCGCATGGCGGCCTCGGGCCATTTCGGCACACCCCTCACGAGGATCGTGGCCCCATAGGGAGCTCCACCGAAGGCGCCAGTGGCAGGGTTCGCATGGCGGCCTCGGGCCATTTCGGCACACCCCTCACGAGGATCGTGGCCCCATAGGGAGCTCCACCGAAGGCGCCAGTGGCAGGGTCGCATGGCGGCCTCGGGCCATTTCGGCACACCCCTCACGAGGATCGTGGCCCCATAGGGAGCTCCACCGAAGGCGCCAGTGGCAGGGTTCGCATGGCGGCCTCGGGCCATTTCGGCACACCCCTCACGACGATCGTGGACCCATAAAGGGAGCTCCACCGAAGGCGCCAGTGGCAGGGTTCGCATGGCGGCCTCG